CTTGTTCCATGCAATGATCTGGAAATAGTGAGTTGGGAATGTTTCCCAAGATGGGTACATTCAACTCAAGTCATGGAAGCTAGTGCTTACTAGCCAACCTAAAGGTGTAGCTTTAGGGACCAGGATGTCTTCTGCATTGCTGTTGCAAACTGAAAGACATGAGACCCTAGAGTTGAGGCCTAAAAGTGGTGTGGCCTTTAAAGAAAGTCCTAGTTTGAAAAATAGTGGGGCAGGTTGAAAGAAAAGCCTGTGAGTGGTTTAATGTTTGTCCTGCCAAGATGTGTATTGTGACTGGGTTGTTTTGGGTCTAAGCTGGTAGAGTGATGTGCTGGCTGTTGGCTACCTGACAAGCTTCAGGAATTATCTGTCCAGATTTGAGGTTCTCTAGATCAGGTACAAGGGTGTCCTGAGGAACAGTAGTCAGTGACCACAAAACATTGGGTATGTTTACATGGACATAAGTAACCGGATCAAATGGCCGGTCGGAATAAAAGTGTGTCATGTAAACACTCCGTTCGGGTTATTTTTTGTGTATTCGGCCCGATCCGTTATAATTTCTGATCAGAACGAAACGGGTGGTTTACGCCGATCCGAAATCCGATCGGTGCGCATGTAAACGCTTGATCTGTTCGTTTTTAGCTGATGGTGAAAAACTGACCTGACTGCGCATGTGCGACTTTGCCATTTCCGCCTGGCTAACGCTAATAATATTAGCATGTCAGGGAAGTAAAACTGGTCGGTGAGCGACACAACATTTCTACTAGAAACTTTTAAAGAGCTCAGAATGATTTCTACCTGTAGCTCAGTCAGGGAGTGCAATAACGTCTCCACCATCATTAAAACCTGTCGCGGGTCCATTTTGGGTGCTCAGGTTTGTTTACGTTCACCCGGAAGTAGAACTTCTTCTTTGGTGTTTTTTTTTAAGGAGAGTTTACCACTCTGCGCATGTCAGTACTGCTGTTCAGAACAAAGCCCGCTGCATGTAAACGCTCATCATGAACAGATTGTGCCCATGTAAACAATACATTTGAATTATTCAAACAGAACACATTTCAATCCGGTCAAAGAATTCTGCGCATGTAAACATAGCTAGTGTTTATGGTGTTCACTTGAACACCAAGTCAGACTAGGATGTCACAGCCTATATATACCAAGTGTGGTAAGTTTGGGACCACAAGAAATGAATGAGTAAGTTCTTCATGGTTCCACTTAAGTGTGAGAGCACAAAATGCCCACAGCTTTTAAGACACAAGACAATCTTAGATCGTTTGGGAAATAAAAAGTTTTTCTAACCATTTGGAGGTTAGCGTGTTTTTGCACTAAGGCCTCATAGGGGTCTTGGCTGTTGACAGACTTGTCAGTCCAGAGAGACAACACAACATCGCTCACATGAGATTCCTGAAATTTGATACCTTTCACCACTTGTAATAGGTAAAATTCACTGGATTGCGATTGACTCAGCAAACACAAGAAGATGTCACGTTGGGCTAGTGTTAGCTCCAACAGTTGATCAGGTGTGGCTGACAGTACTGTGGTTTGAGGTAGGATCTCATTTTCCTGATGTTTGTTTTCAGGTTGGGAGGTGTTTGTTTAATCAGAAATATCTATTGTAGCACACTGAGAGACTACTTCTGGAGAGAAAGTGATGGGTAACGGTTGGCGGACTTGCGCCCAGACTTTGAGATTTTTAAAATTGATCAAAGGCAGAAACCTGTTTAAAAGATTTTGTCCTACTAGGAAAGGGATTGATTCCAGTTATGACACATATTCAATTCAATTCAAATACAATTCAATTCAATTCAAAAATACTTTATTAATCCCAGAGGGAAATTATTTGTTGTTGTATCATTATCCTCATTTCATTAAGAGATGTTATAGACACTGATGGCTGTAGACAGGAAGGATCTCTTGTAAAGGTCCATCCCACAGTGGATCCTAAGAAACTGGCTGCAGATGCCGTCTGATCCGTCCACCCAGACTCGGCTGGCATCTCAGTTCCCCTCGGGCTGTAGGATCACCCAAATGCCGGGCAAAACTCCTCCCAGTGCGATGGCCACTCCTCCCAGCAGCCTGCTGAGCTCCTCGTCACTGCGGACAGCCAACTGTAGGTGTATGCAGCCAACTTGAGCGGTGCAATTCTAGAACTAGAATACAAGAATTCTAGATTTGCCGCTAACCATAGTTTTTTGAACAGTCTGGCAGATATTAACGTGATGTCTGCTCCTGTGTCCAAAAGAACATCAAGAGACAGGACCTGTTCCAGGGTCAGTGAAAGATAAAGCTTTCTCGCTACCCCTTTTTCGGTAAGGTTCCACAAATATTTATACACTGGAGGTTTTATTTGGATCCTGGAGTCATTGTTTTCAAACAAAGGATCCTCAGCAGTCGTTTATACTGTTTAAACAGCACTTGGTATGTTTGACTGGTCAGTTTCCGTTTGTGGACCAGACATGTCAACATCTGAGATCTCTACCTCAGCATTAGGAGGGAAGTCACAATCGACAGCAACAGATTGAGGTTTCAGCTCCTTAGCTTGTGGTTCCAACGGCTCGTTTGTAACATTTAGAGACAGTTTTTGGAGCGGAAGATGCTATAGACAGGAGATCAGCCTTCCTAGACGTCTCCTGTTAGCGCATTTCCTCCAAAATGTGTTGAATCGTTTCCATCTCTTTGGGAGTGAGACCTTTATCTCGTTCAGGCTTTGACTCTTTCATCTCTTCAGAACGTCTTTGACATGGTGAACGTGGTTCTCTCTCACGTATATATTGACTGTTCTGAAACTGATGGGTTTGCCTTCTGTCAGGTTGATCAGAACCTGAAAATTTGTGATTATAATTGGGAGAGCCTCTACCCCCCTGATAATCTTTGTTGCACTTTCAGTATTCAGAGCTTGGATAACCATGGTCTCTCCAAGAGTCTGAGTGCCTGTTCGGATTTTTACCTTGATGAGGGTTTTTTTTTTTTTTTTTTTTACTTATGATTTTTATTTTTATTTATTACATATTGCAAAACAAAAAAATATGCATGAAAAAGAAGATAAAAAAAAAAAAGACAGAACAAAGGGTCGGGTGACATCTTATCTTATTATAATAAGGTGATTAGTTCCTGTAAAGGTTTCTGAACAATGTCCATTTTTCCCACTGTTCTTCAATTTTTGATTGTTGTTCTTTTCCCCACGTATTTTGTTTATTTCTCCTGGGATGTCAGATCTTATTTCGTTTTGAATGTAGTCTTGAGCTTGTAAATACATGTAAAAATCTTGATTTCCCAAATCAAATTCTCTTTGTAAGGTTTAAAAACTTTTAATTTCCCCCTCTTTTGTTAATTTGGCTAATATATTCAGACCTCTCTTGGACCATTCCTTAAATTTGGAACTTGTGATTCCTGGTTTAAAATTTGTATCATAGGCCAAACAGGTAAAAATCTTAATTTAGTTTTCAATTTTACATTTTTTAACTACAGTAAACCAGGTCTCCAGAGTGACTTTTGTAATGGAGTCCAGCTGTTTCTCATTTTCTTTAAACATATTCTTGTTAACAATCATAGCTCATATGTAATCTCCTTCAACATTCAATTCTATTTCCTTCCACTTTGCTGTACAATTTGTGGTACACCAGCCCATCGATGCCTTTAATTGTGCAGCATAATAATATTTTTGGAAGTTTGGTATTGTCAGACCTCCTTCCTTTTTGAGTCTTTGGAGTGTTGAATATTGAATTCTTGCTTTACCTCCATTCCAAAGAAATCTTGCAAATTTTTATCCCATTCTATAAATTGTGAGTTTGGTATTGTCACTGGTAAGAACTGAAACAAATATAAATTTCTGGGCAATATTTTCATCTTAATTATCCTGATGCATGCTCAATAATCCAGGTAGAAAAAAACTGTTCAACTGTCCCCCTCTTACAATGCTGTGATTGCTAGTATCACTCAGCCCTCTGTGAACAGTAAACAGCCATCAGGTGCTAATGATCCATTGTTAGGCTGATGGTCCTTCTTGACCATGTGATCAGCTGGTTTTGGTTGTCAGCAGCAAACTGGTTGATCCACTCTGAGAAGGTGCTATTTAAGAGACTGAGCTGAATACAGCACCTCAGACTGAGGAAGTCCTTTGGATGAAAGACGAAACGTTTCTACATTTTTTTGTTGTTTTGCTTTGTTTTGTTTTTTGAATGTCCAGAGGACCAGATTTAACTTTTTTAGATACATCTTAATTATATCAATTCTAGCGTTTAAATCCAGCATTAATACATCCCTCCTTTCCATATCTTCATAGATATTCTGGCTAAGGCTTTTATAGTTAATTGTATATAGTTTCTCTTGGTTGCTTGTAACTGTTGTTCCTAAGTATACAATTGATTTTTTTAATTCCATTTAAACGTATATTGTTGGATAATTTCTGTGGTTGGGGTATAATTTAGTAAAAGGACCTTAGTCTTACTAATGTTTAGTTTATATCCTGACAGGTGTCCATATAATTCTAAAAGAGTCATAAGTTTAGGTAAACTTGTGTCAGGTTGTTTTTGTAAATTAAGATGTCATCAGCGAATAATCTGTGCACATAACTTTGCATTTTGTAATTCTCCTATGTTCCCTATATTCCCCTTTTTAATCGTTACATGGATTGTTTGTTTAACATGTTACAGTATTTAAATTTAAATTGTTTATTTAAGCAAGGAGATTGGGAGTAAAAGGGGATGAGTGATTGCAGCCTGACACATGTCATGACAAAGTTTACTGAACTTGAACTGAATTTGAACTTGGACTACTGTACCCCTACTTTGCATTTTTTTCACTTATCGCGGGTGGGCGTGGCCCCAATCACCAACGATAAACGAGGGACCACTGTACATTATGTATTTGTATTAAATTAAAGTTTTAAGCAATAGTAATTATTACCAAACAAAATAGGTTAGAGTTAAGAGGTAGCAATCATTTAAGAGCATTAAAAATAGTCAAATGTAAAAAGAATGATTTCTATGTCTCCTTTTGATTTTCAGAGTTGTTGGAGAAGATGAATGACTCTCAGCGGGACTCCAGTGCACCAGGCAGGTTCACTGTGGGCAGTGCCGAGTCGACGCTGCACATCCGTCCAGGAGGCTACACTCCACAGAGAGCTCTTATTAACCCCTTCACACCGTCCAGGATGCCCATGAAGCTCACCTCCAATCGCCGGCGCTGGATGCACACTTTTCCTGTTGGTGAGTCGTCACATTGTTGGGGAAAAGGCTACATTCACATAGGGCTGGACGATACGGACAAAACTTTTATCACGATATATCTCTTAATTTCGGTCGATAACGATATAATTCGATATCGATATGAACAATATAAAATCCTCAGAAAAACTACAAACTATACAAATAAATTAATGTTCACCTTTTATTTGTATTTAGCCTTCAAAAACATTGAAATCACTGTCAAATAAACATACAATTCTCAACTTCGTCAATATTAATAGTTTTGACTTTAAACAACAACTTTAAAATTGACAGCACTGAAATTCGTTGTTAATGAAATAAACTTTTTGGGTGTAGTTATTGATGAGAAGCTGACGTGGAAATCTCCTGTAAAATACTTAAAAATAAAAATAGCAACCAGTTGCATTACTGTATAAAGTAAAAGAGTTTTTGAATGACAAAGCTTTGTGTATATTGTATAATGTAATGATTGTTCCATATTTAATCTATCATAATGAAGTTTGGGGAAAAGCATGTAAAACAATTACAAATCCTATTTTTATTTTTACAAAAAAGAGCTATAGGAATTATTAGTATTATGAAGTGCTATGGTCACCCAACAAATATATTATTTCATCAATTGAAATTATTAAAATGTTATGATGTGGTTGAATATAGTATTTTACAAGTCACGTATATACCAAATATTCAATTAAAATTTGTAATAATAACCTTAAGGGTGTAATGAGATAATATGTGTCTGATATTATCCTTTATTTAAACAGATTCTTTCATTTTTCTGGACTAAGTCATATCGTGCTTTGTGGAGTAAATGTGGACAGAGACGTGTTTAAATTTCTGACTCACCAACAACAGTGGGTCGTTTATTTTAAACGATTTAAAAACACATCACACATTTACATTAATTGGCAGATTGATTACAATTAACACAGCTTAATTAATGAGCTTTGCAATGAGAAATCATACGGCCATGATATCTCACTTGCAGTTTTGAACAACAGACATTTCTGAAGATATCTGGATTAATTACTGGCAAGATAGAAGTTTAAAGATGGGAAAATGAAGGAGTTTAAATGGAGAGAAAATGGATTAGGGAAAAGTGTGTTGATAACGAACGGCACCCTCCTTTCGACCCAGCTCCCCTCGGTACACTTCGGTAGTGGAAATCGACTCTTTACCTTGCAGAAGATATCTCAGGTTCGGTGTAGAGTTCTCTTTCAACGTTACCATTTCAGCATCTCCGTAGGATAGCAGAGAAACGTCCGGAGTAGTGACGGTACTTCGTTCAACAGCACGCTCACCTCCCGGGTGGACTCACATGAGCTGTGAGCCCGTCAGAGTTCCACTCAGATGTGGAAGATTCCATAATCCCCACGAGACTCGGAAGAACTCCCAACTAACTCCAGCCCTTCAGAACTTTCGTTCGGTTCTGCTCCCAGAACTTCTGTTCTTCCCCAGAACTTCTGTTCTCTCTCGGAACTGACTGGAACTAGGAAGTGTCGACTTTTTAAAGAGTTCGCTTCCGGTCCCTTTTTGGGAAATCCTGATTGGTTGAAAGAACCTACAGGGGTGTGGTTTTAGTGATGTAAGAGGTTACTACAAGTCAGAAAAACAGTGAGATGTTTTTGGAACAGACAGAGAAATGTTTTTGGAACAGACAGAGAAATGTTTAGGCGAGATGGCAGACCACAGGTGCCAGCTTCTTATTTTTGTCTGATAGGTTTAAAAACATGACAGTTCGTTCCAACAAACTTGTTTGCGACTGTCTCCGACTTTTGACCGACATCACTCCTTCTCATTTCAGACAGAAGATGAAAAAATGCATGATTACTCTGTAACAGACATTAACTTGATTTCTACTTTGAATGAGGATTAAAAAATCATTAATACTGTTTCACAGTTGATTTAAAATGATTAGTTCACTTCAACATTTAAAATGGTTTGAACTAAACACACTTTGATTATCAAGATATTGTAAAATAGTGATGATAATATAAAAAGAGAGTGTTCTTTCAATTGATTAGTGCAGGACACACTTAGAAAGTCTCTGGATGAGCTTAATTTGTATTTCTGGACTCAAATCAATGAAATAACAGTTCCTGTCCCATGAAGGTCCTCAGGGTCAGGTTTTGACCTGAGGCTTAGTTCACTACAGTCCCCCCTTTGGAAATCATCGCCTGTCCATGGGGATGAATTCCAACATGAACTTACGCCTCGGAATGTCCTTGAGCTTGATGTAATCCAGCAAGAGGAAAACAAAAGTCAAAGAAGGTAATCCCACAACGGTTTAGGTAATTCCATAATGTTGTTGGTAATTCCATAATGTTGTTGGTAATTCCATTGTAGCAATGCTTTAACCCCTTGGAAACAAAGTCTGTAATCCATTGGAAAAAGTCATATAATCCACAACGATAAATCCACAACGAATGGAGGTGTTGATTGATCAGCATACAGAGGGGTTCCCTTCGATTGAACTGAAGATGCGGCCACTGGATGCAGGTTGGAGACCAACGTCAGGATTGCAGGTCTCCTCCAGCGAAGATCGTCGCTGGGTGACGTCCAGTCGGTGCCGTTCTGGTTCTATGTGTCATGCAATTATGTGGTTTAAGGTGGGCTTATGAAGGGGATTTTACATAAGGCCTTAACCTATATGCACCTGGTGTGTAAGCTATTATGATTGGGAACAGCTACAGCTACCAGTTAAGGGATGGAACATGCTGAAAAGGGTAGTTATAGGGGTCTATACCTATAGAAGGGTGTTCCAACTATACCACCATCGCTAACTTTGTCTATGTTAGACTTACATGGCCACTATAGTTGGTTTACTTGTCTGTTGTCCTTTTAGACGAACGACTTGAGATTGGGTGTTTGGTTTCCCCATAAATGTTTTTGGAGTCTATGGCGAGACTCATCAAAAAGAATTAGCTATCCCCCCGAATAGAATTGTTCGAGTAGGTCCGGCTTAAGCGTTGTGAGACCAATGTAGATTATGGTACTTAAGGTAGCATTAATCTACATTGACTCCGCAAAGATTAGGTTTTAACGAGTAAACTGCATGTTGGCATAGTTAAAGTCCTTTACAGTCTCCAACTAAAATACATACAAAACTCATTCTTGCTTGGGGTCTTCAGAAACAATACCAAAAACCAATTAAACGATGTCTTAACATCGATAAAAACAGTGACTAAGCAACCAGTAAAACAACGTTTCAACATTGACAAAAGTAGTGATTAAGCAACTAGAAAACGACGTTTCGGTGCGTCACTCACTCTGGTTGTCAGATTCAATCACGTTATCGCGTCTGGTAACATTACCCTAACTGACGTCACCCCCCTTCGGTCATGGGGGACCGCGAACACGGGTGAGGACGTCGCTCCATGAGCTAAAGTTAGGTTGTCCTTGAGTAGTTTTAACTGTTTGCGCAGCTGAAAGAGGACTTTAAGGTCTGGATTGGAATCCAGTTCGCCTTTCGATGGAGTGTATTTGTCTGGGTCAGTCAGATACAGTATCATCGAGTTAATCGCAGGATCCAACTTCTGAAGTTGGATGATGTCTGGGTCAGTTGAAAATGACTTTTCATATTTTAAAAGAACTTGGCGAAGTTTGTCCCTTTCTTCATCAGATGTCAGAGCGTCGGCTTGGGCGACCACCTGTTCAATCTGTGATGAGACCGATAAGGGTTCTTGCTCTTTGGGGAGCTCCAACGAATCCCTTTCTGAGTCGTCGGACCTGTCTATGGGTTTCATGCGGTCCTTGGTCGACGTCATCGGTTGAGAAAAGAGCTATGGCTGGCCTTAATGCTGCACTTGATAGGCCCGGAGAGGCCCGGCATGCCACCCATGCACCCCCCCACACACACAGCACCCCCCACCACGAATGTCTCATCAGGCCGACCAGCCAGCACCCCGTCAAAGCGAAGCCAGGCCCCCGACCACTACCATACACCACCAACGACCACACAACCACAGCCGACCCCCCGCCGGAACCCGGCAGCTACCCCAGCCAAAGGGCCGGCCATCACCCTGATCAAAAGATCCAAACAACCCAGGGAGAACCGGAGCACCGGCCCCACCCCCAATCGCCCCTCAAGGCCCAACACCCACCCACAGCCCAGACC